TGAACTGCATGCATTTTCCAGCCACACCTAGTTTAAAAAATACATCTGAACTTTTCCGAATGAGGCGGCGGCACTGCAATTCATGTAAGTAATACTAGTTTCACACACACCAGTGTCACACACCAGATGCGCTGCTTGGCGACACATCGCATCATGCCACACATTTAGGAATTCTAAACATAGGTTTCTATCAGGGTAAACACACCGGCGCTGCAAGTCAGCGGCTGTACACGGTTACCAGCCATGACTCAAGACACTGTTCATATTTCTGCCGCGCCACAGACCTCCATCTGAATAGTTTCATTTTAAATAACATGCGAATGTGCAAATCTGGTGTGCGATACTCTCAACTGTCATGAGTGGCACATCCGGTGTGTGACCTACTTATAGGGGTTGCACACCAGATTTGCCGTTCTGCGTCACACCACGCCATGCATTTTAAAATTCTAAATATAGGTTTCTATGAAGGTACGCACATCGGCAACGCAAGTGAGCAGCTGTCAGCGGCGCCCAGCTACAACTCAGGAAACTGTTCATATTTCTGCCGTGCCACAGAACACTGAATAGTTTCATTTTAAATAGCATCCGAACGTCACGGTGTCCGATACTTCCAACTTTCATGTTCGCGCCATGTCGCGGCGCATCCAGTGTGCGTCTGCTTATGAATTTCTTTAACACTTATGTTTATTTTATTATGAAGAGATTAAATGTTTTGTTTAAACATTTTTAAATAACAAATAGCAATACATATATGACATTATTTATTCTTCTCTGTTAACATTAGTTTGTGAAATTAAAAGACATTCATTGTTAATTTCTTGTTAACTTACAGCACTTTAAGTTGTATAACAAAGTTGGATTTTAATAATGCATTAGTAAATATGTCTCTATGGTTAATAAACAGTGTACAAGTATTGTTCATTATTATTTCATGTTGGTTAATACATTAACTAGCGTCAGCTAATGATATTGTAAAGTCTGACTCATATGTTTTTGTTACCAATGATATTGGCTGTTTCTCAATATGCGTTCTTCAACGGTCTTGCGTCCTCGTGTTCTCATGTAACATCATCATCAGCTTCCAAAGTTCAGTTGCAATACTCAAGACCGCAAGAACAAAGAACGCGTGAAACTTCCCAGATGTGTTCTTGATATCGAGGACGCACTGATGCAGACTTGAGCACTGAACTCGCTCTAGAAGTCCCAGAAGTCATTGAGACTGAAGTGCAGCATTTTATTTAGATTTATTATTAAAGTTCAGAGATATAATTGATTTATCTCAGGAGTTTCCTTAAATGAAACGGTGAAAGTAAACACTAACAAAGACATCTTCATATATAAATAAATTTATAAATAAATTTCATTCTCTGCGTTCTTGGAGTTGAGAAACAGCCATTTTTTGTTGTTGAATAGATGATGATGATGATGATGATAGTGATGATGATGATTATTTTATGCATAAAGGTACAGTGCCGTGTTTTCAGAAATGTTTATATTGATGGTATTTTTATATGACATTTGCTAGGTCATTATCCCAAGCCCACGGGTCAATACTGGACATCAGCAGAGAATGAGAGAGCTTGTTTGTTCTGTAGGGATCATATAAGAAGAGCCACACACATTTTTTAGAGAATAATCACCTTTCTTCACCAAAGAAATGTTCTGAGACCTTTATAGAAGTAATCCAAATACAAACAGTTTACTCTTTTCAAGTGGTCTCATATTTTATTTTTCCATAGCTGAATACATATAGCTAATTCAAGCAATTCACAAGCTAAACCTGTAAACAAACAAAAAAAGAAATACAACTACATATGCCTAAAAAAGACATATCAACAGAACAGCAGACCTTGACCTCAGCTATCATTTATTTTAATTGCTTGTTTATAGTAAAAGCTGTCTTTTTTTCTCTCTTCACACACATGAAGCTTAAGTAAACAAGTCCTGAGAGCAGACCTCACGGTTATGCACATTCACTGAGAAGAGGGGATTATAGACAAACATGCAAAGCTTTATGCCAATATTTGTACCTGGCAACTGCAGGTTTGCTAAAGAAACAACACTGGTAGAATTCATTTCTTAATCACCACTCATTCTGGGAGTTAAATTGCTTAGAATAGCCAATTAATGACAGTATCCAAATCTAACAGTAGAAGTAACATTTTCCTCACAAAGTATATACAGTACCACCAGCTAAACCAGTGCAAAAAAAAAAAAAACTGTGTGCATTAATATCCTCCTGAGACCCAAAAAAATTTTTTGTCTTTTTTTTCTGTGATTTCCTACATCCTTTGGGTTAAAAAAAAAATCTACGACTAAGAGTTTTTACATTTTGTTTTTATTTTTAATTTTACTGCATGTCCACTGTAGTGAACCACTGGGCCATTTTAGTTTGAAACGCCCACCACTCAGACAACAAAACTGTCACTCGATGACACTCAAATACCCTGTCAGAAAAGTCTAATGGTTTGGAATGGGCTTTTTACAGCGTCTGCTATAATGTTAATGCTATTTTTTGTGTGTTTAGATGAATATGGCCATGGTGTAAATGCACAGTACAGTTGCGATCTTATTGCCACATTATATCATTAAGATAACATGATTTTGTTGCCTTCAGTGATTTCCTGAAGATAAATACCGAAAATCCCATCACATCACAAATGGAATAACTACAGCAGTTGCAATCGTCGATCTCATCGCATATGAAGCAAGAGATTGCAATGACATATGATGACGTGTGCAGGTTCTGTAGTGATGTCCAATTTCCTAGGGGTATATTTAAAAGGCTTTCCCCTTTAAACTTTCAGAGGCCAAGGAGAAGGGGTAAGAGTACAAAAATAGAATTGGAATTGGGCCTTAAGTTCAGTAAATTACATTTACATTTACATTTAGTCATTTAGCAGACGCTTTTATCCAAAGCGACTTACAAATGAGGACAAGAAAGCAATTTACACAACTAAGAGCAACAATGAATAAGTGCTATAGGCAAGTTTCAGGTCTGTAAAGTCTAAGAAGGGAAGTATTAGTAGTATTAGTATTTTTTTTTTTTTTTGTACAGTTAGTGTGATATTCAAAGAGGCAATTGCAGATTAGGAAGTGAAGTGGAGACTAAATAGTTGAGTTTTTAGTCGTTTCTTGAAAGTAGTGAGTGACTCTGCTGTTCTGATGCAGTTAGGGAGTTCATTCCACCAACTGGGCAGAATATGGCTGTAAATGGATTTTAATCCAATATTAATGTAACAAAAACTAAACACAAGCCATTTTTTCCTTTTGTATTAAAATTCCTGAAACAGTTTAGTCTGAAAGAGAGCAAAACTCAAAAAAAAAAAAAAAGTGAAGTTAATCCAAAACAATTTAACATAAAAGTGATTTAAAACTGATTGTCATTCTATAATTGTCTAAGACTAATATGATGTAAAACAACCATCCACAGTCTTAGTATTATTTACCAAAAAGGAGAAAATTTAGTTTTCATAAAGGGCACCTATGATGAAAATCATCTTTTTGTGGCTGTTCGGACAGAACTGTTTGTAGGTATAGTGTGTCCACAGTCATATTGGGGTGATATAAAGACAATAAGCCTATTTTTGTCATTTTCTGATGTTAGAATAGGATCCAAATCCCTCCCGTTTTGAGGCCCACAGCACCGTGACGTAGGAGTTCAGTTTTCCAGCCCACTGAGATGATTGACAGCCGCATATTAACATGTCTCTGTATTAGCGTGTATAATGTTATCCACAAGACAGGACAACTGGGATTAAAAGATCTGTTCAGCTCTCTGTGATCATCAATCATCATCAAATGTGATCAAGAATGAGTTTTACAAGTTAAGTACATTTTAAAACAGTGCATGTTTGTAATGAATTACAGCGATTTTATCATCTTTATCACCAAAGCCACGTCAGTACAATTATAAAAGAAGATGCTTCAATCCTAATGAAATGATGATAACTGTGACTCATTGTTGCAGAAAGGCTTGAATTAACTTCACAACAGATACATGAAAACCAGACATGCTACCTTCATGTCTGTCTTTGTGCTGTTAATCTGACACAGCCGGACACACACTTTGACAGGCATGTGGAATCGGTGGGCAGGGAGAACTAGCATTAAAAGCACAGGCAACAGAAACAGTTACAAGGTGCTCAGAGCTGAAAATTACAAAATTCTGAAAGGTCTAATAAATAATCTGATGGGTATTTTGAGCTGAAACTTTACAGAGACATTCTGGAGACACAAAAGACTTATCTTAAATCTTGAAAATGTTTAAAATAGGTGCCCTTTAAATCCCAAATCTGAACAATGAAGTCATTCACTCCTTTAATACCTAACAATTTGCAGTTATTTGTCCACTGTAATGAAAACATCAATACATATAAAACAAGAAATCAAACCCCATACAATTGCATAATTAGATCCAGTGTATAATCACTCAAGTTATAACATCAAATCTCACAGCCGATTCCACACTCCAACTGCTATCTATAGCCTATAGGCTTATTTGCACAGGTTTTAATCTAATTCATTAAAAGGGGGACACATATGTACAGCTAGAATCTCTATTTTTAAAATGAAATGGTTAAAGGTGTTTTACCAACGTTTGGTGGTTTTAGTCATTAACACATTAATTCTATATCCTTAAAAAGACAGCAAACACATACAGGTACTAAAAAACTCCACTAAGCTTTAAAGAGCAGCATAAAATTACAAGCAGCATCCTCCAGATTCAAAACCTTTTCGACATTTTGACAGATCAGTTGGACTCTTTGAAGTCAAAATATAGAGTCATGAATATGGATGTATATCAACATGAATTTGTGAGATCAATAATATTAATAAACATCAACTGAAAAGTGGAAAACTATAGTTAAATGCAATACATACTTCCTTCTCATAAATAAAAAACAAACTACATACTAATAATCTGCAAATTATCCCAAAAAAAAAACAAAAAAACAAGGGAAGCTATGGTGAAACAAGCAGTTTGACAAAACACTCACCTTTTACAATTAACTGAATGAGCTTTGGATGTAGATTACGTTCGCTCTGTATTGAGCAGGTGTAGACGCCCTCGTCCGTTACATCCACTTTCTGTATCTGTAAGCTGTATTCATGTTTATCCCCCACGTTTGATACAATGGACACACGAGGATCCCCTGACCACTTGTCATTCCCTGCGTAAATGATACTGGAACGGTTCAACCATGCTCCTTTTGAGATCCCATCCAACAGGTAGCATCTGAAAGCAGAAAAAGAGTCTAAAATTAAAACAAATTGGTAATCATCAAGTGATGAAATGAGACTGTAAGTGCAACAGCAGACATACAAACAACTTGTTTGATTAAAAATGTGATTTACTAGCCAATCGCTGCATTTGCACATTAGGCTTTTTTTGTTTACAACACTCTGAAGCCACTAGAGAAAAAGTATTATTAAAAAAACAAGCCAAAAACGAAAAGATGTTAGAAATTGAAGAACATCCTACTGACTTTTTAATAAGCACCACTTGCAAATCATACAAACTACACCAATCCCTGGTGTGAAGAAAAGATTCTGCAAGAAACAACAATATAACTATTTAATATTTAAAGCAGTGGTTCCCAGCTGGTGGGTCATGACCCAGAAATGGGTTGAAGGTCTGTTCTAAAACAGTAGATAGTAGGGAAAAAAAAACAATGTAAAATGCAAATCATAAAATGCATCTAATCATGCTTTTAGCACAGCAAATTGAATAGGCCGCTCAGTTTTTCAAAGGAAGAAGAAAATGCTTTCCATATCTTTGTTGTTGACGTTAAAAGCCATGCGGCCCAATTAAACTCCACAGTATTCCTCTGCAAATCCATCCGTCACTTTGTAGAAGCTAAATTATGCAGATGCCAACATGGACAGGTTGCATGACATGCCTGCTTCCTCAAACGAAATAAAAAAAATAATAAATAAAAACATTGGATTCAAGGTCATTCTGTTTTGTTTCAGCTACTGGATTTCTGTCTTCTGTGTTTGTTTCAAACATGAAGCCTTCAAATCGATAGTTTTGACCTCAGAACACTAGACACCAGTGTTTACACACAGACTATGTTCATGCTGGGGAGAAATACTACTGAAAATTGTGAAAAATGAAAGGCACAAAGATACGGAACCGTGCTGGGATCCAACACAATCCCAACTTTTATTTTTGCCCTCATAAAGAAACTATAAGTGTCACATGAGCTTCATGTGTTGAAATCCCTTTTCAAGCACATGTGGAACACACATTTAACAAAGACACAAAAAAAATACACAAGTTTAGTTTTAAATGGGGAAATGTGTAGTGGTGAATATGGTGAATGAAGCTCTGCCTTCTATCATAAAGGGCCAATCATCCAATATTAAAGACTGACTGTTCTTGCATTTGTTATGAACCCTCTGAGCTCTGCAAATGCACTGGAATCTCAGTGAATACTTGACAGACATTAGAAATATATCCACATAAACCTTGAAATCTCGACTTTTAAATGAACCAACCACAATTGAAAACAAATTTTTATTTTAGGTTTTGTAATCTGTATGAAATGAACGCAAGGTACATTTAAATGAACATCACAAAACTACTCAAATGCCCACAAACTTGTAAACAAAGAGGTCACTGCGATTTTGGGAGGAGATTAGTCATCAATAAAAAGTTGGGAACTACTTCAGAAGACTAGCACAATAGGACAAGGCATTATTCAGAGGATTATTATGTGTAACAGGGCCCTATGGGCTGGCCAAATGAGGTTAGTGTCGTGATCTTATAACCGTTCAAGTGTGCATTAGCTTGGGCAACCTGAAAATAATTTGTTTTAGTTTGATTTAAATGTTCAGAAATTAAATTTAAGAGACAGTTGATGTTGAACATTATTGGTGATTCCAAATATTTTGATGTTTCCTTGTTCAAACAGAATGCCCGAGCATACTGCCAAAGAGGTATTTCAAAGATGCCGCTGAGTGAAATGACTTGCTTTAAAGGGACTTTGTATGTAATGTGTTTTTTCTGCAGGTTTTTGTTTGATATGGTTTTGAAACATTATCAAAATCAGATGACAATATCACTTTTTTACCACAGGATATTCCAAAACCCCACTTTCAACAACATTGTTTTCAACAAATGTGATTTTAACATGATTGCACATGCTCACAAGGGTGAGTTAATTATTTGTTTAATTTTTTAAACATTGTTTACTGTTTTGTTCAACCTGAATGAGAAAATTATGTTAAAAGCAGAGGTTTAGCAAAAAAAAAAAAAGTACAAATTTCAGAATAATTCTCTTATCCTCAATTATTTAAAGAGCGCCTATTTTGGGTTTTTGCCTGTTGCAAAATATGTGTTAAATTGTGTGTTGTAGCTCCGCGTGGCTTATAATCACTTACCTATCATAGACCAGTGCTTGTACTGTATCTCCAAGGTTAAATCTTTATGGGGCTATTCACATATTGCATCCAAAACCATGTTTTTTACCGATTTAAATGTGCTTTTTAAACTCACGATTCTCTTCAACCATTAGATGTTTTTACACACGCATGGCATGGTAAATTTTTTAAATAGTTCAACTTTTGCCACTGTGGGGATTAATACTGAATTTGTGTCATTCTTATTACTTGGGGTTAGGTTTAAGAGTAGAATGATATGCTGCTACTTCATAATCGTGGTGGGCGTTTCTCTCTGTTTCACGCTGAACCCAGTCAACCGATCACAACAGACAGTGGTTTGTTCTGTAGGCAATTAAAAAAATTGCTTAAGGGGGTTAATAATATTGACCTTAAAATGTTTTTAAAAAACTAAAACCTGCTTTTATTCTTGCCAAAACAGAACAAATAAGACTTTCTCCAGAAGACAAAATATTATAGAAAATATTGTCAAAAAATGCCTTGCTGTGTTAAACATCAATTGATAAACATTTGAAAAAGAAAAACTAATTTTGACTTCAACTGTATATTACAAAATAAAATATAAATACAGAAAAATTGAAATAACAAATGATTATCGGCCAAAAATGATAAATTCTTAATGTCGACAGTTCTGTCCTTGACAAGCAGTAAACCAACCACGCAAACAACAATGACAGATCAGGTACCAAGCCTAACATCTATTTGTTGTTTGGCAGCAGTGTGTATGATGAGAGTTATTCACACAAGATACACTTGAGGTTACAGGTGAAATGAGAGTCAACATATCTGTCAGTACCCGTCTCAGCTCACTTTCTCAAAGCTGATTGGATCTTTTGGAAATGTGCAGGACTGGATCATGTCATTTAAAAATGTGTCTGATGCTGTGAATCAAGAACTGATTCACTACGGCTTGTTAAAAATCTTTGTAGAATGATCATGCAAAATTTTTAATTATACAGTTACCATTATGCAAGAGAAAAGCCCATCAGAGAATTTGATTTAAAAGTAATTATATTAAAAATGTAGTGGTGCCTCTGAAATATAACCTAAAATGAAATCATTGTTAAACTGCATGTCATGTACAACTCTGCAAATCCAATAAAAGTAAAACATAAATTGTTGTTAATAGTGCCGTTAGTACATTTATTATGTATCATATGTCATAATAACTCCAGAGTTGCATGTCACATCCCTGCATTTTAATGACAGATAATAGGGTATAACTAATGCCGGCCAAAATTCACAAAAGCACAATTAATTAATTGCAATAACGATGATATATTCTTCACATTAACGCTAACGCCACAAGAGATATGAGACTGCAACAGCTTTAACGCTTAAATAAATAATGATCCTAATAAATAAATACTTTGCAAAATGAGCACACATATATAACCATGACCAAATTAAGTGTTCAACAAATATAACACTTCAGATCAAGTGTTCAACCAAACACACCCAACTAAAAGTAATGAAGGGGCACGGAATCACATCTTAGGAAAATATTGTAAAGGGATACATCAAAATAAAGTCATAAAGACAGTTGTTTATATAACAGCAGGCTCCTTGGAAATATGTGCCTCAGCCTAAATTTGAGCAAAATGTAAAATATGTGTAGTTTCATTGAACATTTCAGATAAAAAATCCACCAGAGGGCACTGGAAACTTTTTTTCGAATCTAAATTACGTTACTTATGACACAACTTATTGTATGTTTCAGATAAACATCCACAAGAAGGTAGGTGCTCGTCGTACAGATCATCTAGCAAACACTGACCTAAATCCTTCCCTAAACCTAATCAATTGTGTTTTCTAAAAACATACTTTAGAGAAACGTAACCTTTGGTCACATAGGTTTACCTTGATTTTTCTTTGTTATCTCTTTTATGGGACCATGCTTCACCAAACACAAACCAGAACCTAAGCTAGGGCTAGGCGATACAGGCTAAAATCGATTACTATTAATTAACGATTATTTTATTTATTTATAAAAAAATTTTGCCCTCATAGTTCACTGACAAGTTTTATATGGTGCAGCTACCAATCATCGTCAATGTAAGGCAAAGTAAGGCTTAAGAATAAGTCCATCGTCCTACATCCTGTAGGGATTATTTTACCAAGAAACTGCAGTAAAACGTATTTAGAAGTACGCTTTTGGAGGTTCACAAAAATGCTGACAAACCCGTATTTTCAGTGAGCCTGTAACATACATACTGTAGCAAATTCTGCAAGATGTTTAAGGATTACTCTATTTGAAGTTTCATAAACTAATTTCGAGAGGAGCATGTGATATGACTGAGCACGGCTGGCCACTCATACGTAATCAGTTATAATCCAATCAGAGTGATCCTAGCTTACTATAAATGGATAATTTTCGTTTTGGAAGAATCCCCCTTCCACCCCATCTCCTCCTTTTCTTCCCTTTTCTAAAGGGGGAGCTATCAAGACCTACCTGATCTAGGATCCCCTGATATGCTTATTGACCTGGCGGGAGCCCTGAGCTCAAATATCTCCGAGCTCAGGGTTCTCTACCAGGACAGCATGCCAAACCTGCTATAAATGCTAAGCATATCTAAGAGGGAACTCTTGAAATTTAAGTTATAAAGTTAACACTATGCATTATTTTACATGAATTTTTTCTAAAAATCTTTTATCCTGGTCCTTGAATACTAGTCATGCATGACAACAACCAAAATATTTTATTAATGACTGTTTACTTTTTTTAAAAAATGTTTGAAATGAACGGGCAAGTAGTTTTTTATTTAATAAAAAAAAATCTGTAATCCTTACCATAATTTTACAGAAAACCCACATGCGTTTCATATGCACAAT